GACCCCACTGATATGCGTTACGAAATGCAATTTGGTGGGTGGGAGGATAAAGAGGGATTTGGCACTAAATTGACCAAAAAAGGAAGAAAAACGTAGTAACTGCCCGTTAATGATTTTTTTTTTTTAAACAAATTAAAAGAAATAATGGAAGATTAGGCAATGGGTTTAAAATTGAGGTTCTTTCTAACTTATGCGGTGCATTTATTATACTTTTTTTATTAATTTAAATAAAAAATTATGAGAATAAATTTTATTTTTAATATTAATATCACATGAAATAATTTAATTAGATGGTTAATAAAATTTAAATCAATTTTTATTTTTTTCATGTAATTTTTTTTTCATATAAATTAATTGTAAAAAAGTAAAATAATTACACTTTCAATATGTACCGTTATTTAAAAAATTTTCACAATTAATATCCATTAATTAATTTTCGATTTTAATAATATTGATGTAAGTAAATACAACTAGGTCTATTTTTTTCCTAATAAAATAGTATATAATAATTAATTTTAACGTTATATTAATTGTACATTTTTATTATTAATTTGCATAAAAATAAAAATTAATTTTAGTTTTATCAACTATCTAATGAAAATATTTCACATGGTATTGGTGTTAGAAAAACCCTATACTTGTTTATAATTAATCACTACTTAAATAATCCATATGATATATTTAATATATATTACAAGAAAAAATTAAAAGAAACATGATATAAATGACTTCTCTCCTCTCCCCTCAAATCAAATATATTATAAATGATATTTTAAAACAAAAGAAACAGCTGAAATTTAATATCTCAAATTAAAAACTAAATCTACCATTATAAAGCTAAATGGAGTATAATTGTCCGTACATCATTACCTGTTTAACACATTCATTAATTTCAGGTTTTAAAAGAGATGAGGATAAGCAAGTGAAATGAAATAATTTACCAAAAAAAAAAAGGGGAAAAGTTGACTTAATAAATAAAAAATGATCTGCTAGCTACCTAAGTAATTCGATGGTTATCTCTTTTTGTTGAAAGTAAGAGATCTTGAGTTTGAATTGCATAACATGCGGGTTGGGTGAGATAAGGGATAGAAGATGGTTACCTCCCATTATACAACCAAGATAAAAAATAAAGAAATAAATAAATAATGATCTATATTGAAAGAATTAAATACGAGTTTTCTTAAATAGAGAGACTAAAAAAACCTTTTGTTAAAATAGAAGGATCAAAATGAGATTTTAACCCACATCTAACTATAGAATCATTGATAAAAATGATAATAAAAAATAGATACCACTCGTGCCCTCGCACGCGTATAATGATATAATTTATATTTTCAATTGTTTTGAACATTAATTTTTTTTTATTTTAATAGACAATATTATTTCATAATTATAAATTATAAATAAAACTTACAATTTTTTATGACACTACAAACTTAAATTATTTTGTTTTTAGTTAAAATTTCATCGACAGAACCCTCAAATCACCTCCTGACAAATATGGGTAGGGACGGATCCACCCCTCAAAAAAAAGCAGGGACAAATGACACCCCAAAAGTATCGATTTACCCAAATCGATCATTATCTAACAGGTGACGTCATCACCGTCACGATCTTCGTTTAGCCTGTGCCAACGTGTCGTTTTTTCACATGCTGGATGTTGATGTGTACCAATCCCGCCCGTTTAAGGATTTAAAGCCTTCACTTCCACTGAGTAGATGGAGTTAGGACTCCCCACATTAGTTAGTCTCCTCGTGATCATCTTCCTTCTTGTACCCTGCTTGAAAACTACAGAAATAGAGGGGTAATTGAGGCTGAAGCCCCTGTTGATGAGTAGAACCTCATGGCAACTAACATTCTTGTGTGTGATTGTGAAGATTTCTGATCTTGTGTACCCGAGCGTGCAGAGATGAGCAATGTACTCATCTGGCCTAATGTCATACACTAGTCCTGGATTAATTGCCCTTCGTGGGTTTACATGTCCAACTCCAATGGCAAAACTCATTACGGGCATATTCCCATCCATTATTGGTTTCCCCATGTGATCATTTGTATCAGCAGTTGTCCTTAATGCAGATTTTATGGCAGCTGGGGACCAATGAGGGTGTGCTGCGTGTATTAGAGCTGCAATTCCACTGACATGGGGACAAGCCATGGAAGTCCCTGACATGACAGTGAAGTTCACCCTTCTGGAATCATCTGGAAGTCCTGTTGGCGCCAGATTTTGAGGCCAGGCAGCAATTATATTAACTCCAGGAGCAATGACATCTGGTTTGAGAATTGAAGGGTCAAATAAGTTTGGCCCCCTAGATGAAAACTCTGCTACTGCAGGTGCTCTTGATCTTCCGATGACGGTTCCTCCGAAGATGATTCAAGCTCTGGGATTCCTGGTGGAGTTTATGTATGCCTTAAGACGTATTGCCTCTGCGTGGCCAAGCAAAGTTGCTGGCAAGACATGGGCATCCACAGAGTCTTCTTCCAAGTTTATCACTGTGTTTGCCAGTATCATTGCAGCACCACCAGCCTCCTTTACTACTTCACCCTTCTCTGCTCTACCGTTCACACCTCGATCACAGACCACCATCTTTCCTCGAACTTTTGATCTTGGAAGGGACCCTCTTAAGCAAAATTCACTTCCCGTGTTCCCTTTGGTAACGTAAACAACTTTAAGTTCACTTCCAGAACCTGGCATCTGCTTTCCTGGGGACAATGATTCTCCGTAAAGGAGTTTTCCGGTACCCATTCGAACTACGGCTGGAAACCACCGGTCGAGCGTGCTTGCACCGATGGTAGCAATCCAGGGGGCTGTGTTGGCTACTGAGCTTTGAATTGGGCCATTATTCCCTGCAGCACAAATGATTGATATTCCATGCTCCATTGCTCTGAAACGGGCGAGATTGGTACACATTAGCATCCAGCGTGTGAAAAAACGACACGTTGGCACAGGCTAAACGAAGATCGTGACGGTGATGACGTCATCTGTTAGATAATGATAAATTTGGGTAGATCGATACTTTTGGGGTGTCATTTGTCCCTGCTTTTTTTTTAGGGGTGGATCCGTCCCTACCCATATTTGTCAGGGGGTGATTTGAGGGTTCTGCCAATTTCATCTATAACTCTTATAACTAAGCAAATGAAATAATTTAATTTTATAATGATATATTTCATGTTAAGCCATTCTTTATTTTATATATGTTATAATTTGTATTATATTTATATAATAAAAAATGTTTTCACTCCCTCTTCAATTTTAGTCAAGTTTTGTCCCTAGTATGACTGATAGATCAACAACTACACTATTAGTAATGACTATATTCTCAACATACCACATAATCTAATTATCATTATGATATCTGAAAATCCATGCTCTACGGCTCCACTAGTATTAAGGTTTAACAAAATTTGGAAGAGGTTTACGCCATCAAAACATGCCATGTTGCCTATTACATGCAGAAGTCTAAATAAGAAAAAGTAACCAAAATTCAATAGCTTTATAGATAATAAAAGGAAGCAATTTAGAATCTTGAAAATAATAATCCGGTTAACTTTATCACTCCTCCGTAAGGAAATTCCCCAAATAAGTGAATGAGAACAAAGTAGCCTTAAGAATTTTGCAATAGGGAAATCATGCGTGCATTTAGAGCTTAACCAACTAATAATAATAATAATAATAAATAGTTTTATTCTTAATAATTATACCAAGTATTCACTCTAGTGATCCATGATCCATGATTAATCTTTGAATTTATACCTATGTTTCAAACAATAAATGCACTTAGAATGCAATAATCAAACACACCTATCATTTAGTGTCATTATGAGAAATGTGAATGTTATTGGATTCTTTACTACTCTGGAGAAACCTCATTGCACTTGAAAGTGTGGCCAATGATGGTATATTTATATGGGAAATGATATGTTTACACCTCTAATTGACACACTCAATTGTACAGATCTAGTTTAATGGATAAAATATGATTTAATAGGATTTGTTACGTATTAAAGACTTATCCCTCACTTATTTGGGACAATCTATTAGCATCCATTTCATCCTTCCAGATTCCTTGTTAGTGGCTATCACCTAAAACCCAATCGGTCCTTCTAAATTCTACAAATTTGAACACTCACCTGTCCCAATTTGATAAAATCTTGTTGATTGCCCTTTTTCAAGAAAATGTGTAAACAAGGATATTAACATTATATGTTTTTTTATTTAAGAATGTTAATTTTGTTAGTTTTTAAATAAAGATGCTAACTTTCAATTTTTTTCTATTTAAATATGTTAATTTTCAACTTTTTCTATTTAAATATACCAACTTTTAACTTTTTCTATTTAAGGATTAATTGAATAATGATGCTAATGTGGTAAACAGATTTTTTAACCAAAATGTTGAAAGTTAGCATCCTTAAATAGAAAAAATTGAAAGTTGGCATCTTTATTTATAAAAAATTGAAAGATGTCATCCTTATTTAGAAATTGACAAAATTGACATCCTTAAATAGAAAAAATTATAAAGTTGACATCCTTATTTGCACCTTTATTCGCCTTTCCTCGACCTCCATTTCCTCCAAAATGACCAGACCAAGATCAAAATGGCATTGATCACCAATGATGCACCATAAATTAATAGAGCCACCATCAACCCTATTTTTGCCTTCATTTCGTCCTCACCCACGTCAAAAAAACTAGGGTTGGGGCCTCTTGGGTCCTCTTGGGTTTTGTAGGTTTACTAGTTTTATAGTTATTTTTGGGTTTTGAGTTTCTAGGCATTCAATTTCCAATGGAAATCCACAAAGGTTAGGGTTTTTGAAAATGTTGTGGGCCCTTGGTTCAAAAGCAATCTTGAGGCCTTCCTTATCTTGTTGTTTCTTATATCTATGGATGATGTAGAAGAATGCTCACGAGCTTCACATGGGTATTAATAAATTTTTCTTTAGCTAAAAGCAACTCCTTTTGTTCTGATTTTTAGTGGAAAAAGTTACGGCTCTTTAGGGCTTCAAAGCTCTTAAGCAAGATGTTTCCACCTTGAATATTAATAAAAAAGTTTTCTGCAAAGTTTTCACCTAAGGCCTCAAAGTTATCATTAACTATGGAGAAGTTTTTATGCTAAGTGGAATAATATTGGGATTCTTGTTGGCATTTGTTTGGAACCATAAGTAGGGAATAACTGGATGAATGAATACAAATTGATATATTCACATTCTTAATGAATATGAATGTTAGATGCAGCAAAATAACAGCTCAGGTGTGTGAGGAAGAAAGCAAAGCCTATAAATCCAATTGTTTGCATAATGGAGTATTATAGGGTATGATGAGTATACAATGAGCTTACAACAATTCTTCATTAAGGAACTTCACTGAATAAGGGTAGAAAAGAGCACATAGCAAATGAGAAGCAAGTAAATGTTGTACATGACTCTAATTAATAAAAATAAACAAATTAGA